ATATATATATATATATATATATATAGTCAATAAGAAAAACCAAAATGACCAATGTGTGTGGAACAGCTGACAAAGAAAGAGGGGCTCTGGTGTAAATCCTCAGAGGAAAAGACACCCGTGTTTGTGCACCCAGCTTCAGGGTTAGGGCTTGAGTGGCCTCCTTTCCTTTCTGACTGGCTCTCGGCTCATCAGTAAGCTGCATGTCCCCAGGGATACAGCCTTGCGGGGCTGGAGCATTGAGAAATCTCTTCCGTGCTCCTGTAGTCACTTGTGGAGAAGACAGCACTGTCGGTTATCTGAACTCTTCCTTAGCTTGGGATCGTCTTTCCTCATTTCACACATGTCCAGTAAGTAAGTCCGTTGAAGAAAGCCCGGTCACAGTCATGCTCTGGTAGTTGAGTCACCCAGAGCGGGGTGGGAGGAGATTGTCCAGCCTGGACTCGGAAGAAAGCCAGAGTGGGCCTGACCCCAGGACCATTCCCGGGCCCTGACCTGGGTGCTCGGTTGGATGTGGCAGGCGCTGTGGGGAGCAGCTGCACAGCCAGGTGGTGTAGGGAGAGCGTGGGGTGCTTGGTGCAGGGGCCCTGCTGTGTGACCATGGAGGGACGGGCACAGAGCCCCCAGGAAAGGGTCCAGCGGATACAGGGAGCACAGATGACAGTGCATGTGCATAACAGCTCAGCTCAGTTTTGTTAGGACAGAACGACCCACCCCGTTCAGTGCTGGACGATGAAATGTGTGTAACTCTGTATTTTTTGTTTTCCTCTATAGATGGCTCTGTCAGAGTTCGAGACACAGATTGGAAAGAAGTAGGTATTTTTATTGCTTCTTTTTTTTTTCTCCTTTTTTGTGGTACCCAGGAATTGAACTCAGGACCTTGTGCTTGTGAGGCAGGCATGGTGCCACTTAGCTAAACCCCTGGCCCTAGAAGTAGGTATTTTCAAATAGGAAAGTTAATGTTCATGACACAGAAATCACTAGTGAATTAATAGCAGGATATTCTTCATTTTTATTATGATGTAATGATATTTGTTTGCATTATATTTATTGCTAAATTTCAGTAAATGAAAATGTTTTTATCTTTTGCTTTAGACTTAATTTTTATTTTCCTGTAATTACATAGGAAAGAAGTCTTAATACAATTACTTTTCATCTTAATATAAAATATTCTTATTTTTGGCAAAAATATTTGAATTGTCTTTGTATGGGAGTAGCTTCAGCCACTTAGGTAAAGTGACTTTGAAAAGGGTAAGATAAGAAACATCTTATTTGCAGGTAACTACTGACAGAGATATCAGCAGGACTGAGGAAACTCCTTGGAATGGAGAATAAAGTTCAGTAAAAAGCCTTACTGTGTACCAGATACACAGCACTGTTCTCTAGAGTACATCCCATCCTCTGAAATAGGCACCTGTTTTTTATTTTAAATCGAGGTCACCTGGGGATGAGTAGGTGACTGGGTTTAAGTGTTGCCCATCGCCCTTCTAGTACCCGAACATTACATTTTCCACTTTGAAAAAGGGCAGCCTGACATCGCAGGCCAGCATGGATGTGGACTGTCCCGAGTCCCTGCTACTGAGTCACCCCTGCTCTGGGTTTGTTGTTTCAGCATAGTTGCAGTGGGCTGAAAGAGTAAAGTCCCTGAAAAGCGTGGTGGTGCATGCCTGTAATCTCAGCACTCAGGAGGCTGATGCAGGAGAGTTGCAAGATCACGTCCTACCTGGGAAACTTAGCAAGACCCTGGGGATGTAGCTCAGTGGTAAAGTGAGTGTCCTTGGCGTCGCCTCCTGGCCACTGCCCTGTATGTGCGGTGTCTTCTTTCTGTGCACCGCTGCTCTTGTCTGATTGCATGGGAAGGGCTCAGAGGTCTGTGTGGAGAGAGCTAGGTGGGGCCCAGGGCACCCAGCCATGTGTTTCTTGTTCTTCCTCCCCACAGCTGTACAAGAAGAGGCACAGACAAAGGAAGGAGGCTCAGAGGGTGCGGTACATGAAGTTCCTGCCGCCGCCCCCCCACCCCATCCCGTTCTACCCCAGCCCCTTCCCCCCCAGTTCACTCCTCCCTCCGGGGATCATCGGGGGCCAATACGACCAGCGACCAACACTTCCCTATGTTGGGGACCCAATCAATTCCCTCATCCCTGGGCCTGGAGAGACACCAGGCCAGTTTCCCCCTCTCAGGCCTCGTTTTGACCCGATCGGCCCCTTCCCGGGATCCAGCCCTATGCTGCTTGGGCGAGGTGGCCCAGGGGACAGGTCCCCCTTCAGGCCAGGCCGGGGCCGGGCCTCTGACAGCCGGATGTCGTTCATGTGACCGGGGTGCGGCCCGCTCTCCCTGACAGTTCTGGGAAAGCTGTGCTCCCGGAGCCTTTGCTAGGCTGGCCTTGGGGACGAGCGGCGCTGTGGCTGCCCTGCCGACTCCCGGAGCAGGGCCTGGTGTGTGTCCTGTACCGCATTAAACCAAAGTGTCACTAACGTGGCGAGCTGGGCTTCTGTCACAGAAGGTGCCTCCGAGTCCTCAGCGTTCTCAGTGTTATGCAGACATGGTAAAATTATTGGTCCTTCTGAGTGTAGGCAGATCATTATTTCAGGGGTTTCTGGGTCTTGTTTGCATTTTTTGTTTCTAAAAAAATTTTTTTAGTGGTGGTCTTTAAATTAAAGCCCAATTTATAAAACCTGTAAAAGCGGAGCAGGGCTGGCTGACCTCAGGGCAGCCCCTCCCCCTCTCTGGCCCGTCCTGGTTCTGTGGTGGGACTTGGGCTCGGGGCAACACCGCCGGAGATGTGTTGAACACGTGGGTCCTGTTCGCAGCTTACGCAGAAGACTTTTAAACAACAAAGTTCCTCTTTGAGTGCTGGTCAGTTTCAGTGGAGCCTCAAGTTACACCTGGCCTGACATAGGTGACTTGGGTTGAGGTTAATGGAAGACTCACCTGCCTCTTGTTATCTAGAGCGCGTACCCAGGTGACATCCGCATCTCAGCTGTATTGACTTACAACCCTTGGGAACCGACCGAGTTCATAAGTCAAGGGTCCACTGTATTTGGTCTTCAAAGACAACCTCCTCTTGTTGGAAAAACATTGTGTTTAAAAGATTTAACACAAAATCCAAGATTTATTTTTCTATAAGAAAAAGCCAAACACAAACTGACATACAAACAACTGTAGAACATGCTGTAGTGACAAATGAGAATTGGAATCAGCACAGGCGTGAAGCCTACCGACACCTGCAGAGATTACTTAGGAATATCGCCAATGTCTTGCCTTTTAAAAAATGTTTTGCATATAAGGAAATGGCTTGGAATGTTACGTGCTGCGAGAGTATTCTTAGTTCTCTGTACGAGTGAATTACTATGTTTTGCTGCACTCTTTTCCATCACAGTGAAGAGAATTTAGCCTGTGTGACTGGGGAGGCCATGTCCCCGCCGTGTGGCAGGTGAGGCAGCTGCCCGCCACGGTGTTTGTATCTGAGCCCCAGGAAACCTTCCTCACGTGCGTGCCACTGCACGCCACAGGGCTTCCTTTGGGTTGGGCCGAAAGGGATGCCCTGCAGGGGGCTCCGCATGGCCTCGCTCGCCCTGGGTGCCACAGGGCACCACGTGCTCAGGACGCAGCCATTTCTGAGCACCCTTGCCGGGCCTCTGGGGCCTTGGTCCTGGCAGTGTGCCTGGCACTGAACGTGCACACCGCAGTAGTCCCCCGAGGCTTTTCCTCACGACTGGCAGCTAAATGTACATTCAGCAGCTTGTAGAATCCCACGTTCTTGTCCCGACATTCGGGCTGTCTGCATTGCTGGTGCCCTAGTGAGGTCATGGCTGGCAGAGCCCGTCCCGCGTGCTTTGCTGACCTCACCCCGCATGTTGTAATGGAAGCGAGATGGCCCGGTGAGCAGCGAGGAAGGCGCCACTCCACTCCGCACCACGGACTTGTAGCCTGCCCCGCTCGCTGGCCCTTACTGCTCCCTTTGGCTGTTTTTATTAACAGGACCTTGCTTCACCCCCATGTCCTCTTATAAAGGAAAACTGGCTTGGCACGGCTGGTGACCCAGGCAAGGGTGCTGTTCTCTCCTGCTGGAGTCGGGTGATTTCCTGTGTAAAAACTTGAGCCCTGACCTGTCCGGCTCTGCTTGGTTCTCTGGCTCTCTAGTCCGCTGTTTGGCCCCCAGTTTCTGAACTCCTAACTCCCAGAGCTGGACCTTGCTCTCTGCCCCTGCCCTGCCTACCCCTACCCTGGGCATAGCTGCCCAGCTGCATGCCACACTGGGGGGAGGGCACCCCTCGGGGTCTACGCCACCTGGCCGGGAGATGCAGCGTACAGGACGACTCGTCGAGAAGGGCTCGTACAAGTGTAGTGTCGGCCTCCTGCGTTCGTGGGCAGGGATGTGTTGAGACCGCAGGGCGCAGCGAGTGAGAGTGGAGAAGTCAGGAGCGTGAGGGAGATGGAGGTGATAAAGGGTCTTCTGTAGCTCAGGACTGAGCACACCCCACTGGAAGACAGTCGTGCAGTTGTGGACTAGTGTCCCCAAGGGATGCCCCACTGACCCCGAGACCACTTCCCTGACACCCGTCTTTCTCGGCCCACACACGGGAACCTGCGTATCAGTCAAAGTGTCCACTTCGCTTCTCTGGACACATGGACCCATCTGGCTCGCCTGTTGCCCACCTTCCTGTTGGTCTGCAACCCAGATAGCATGCTGCTGCCTGTTCTGTCCTCATTACACTAAAGCCTTTACCTGTGGCCACTTAGGGTCTAGGATGCTCATCAGGAAGCAGGGCGCAGGGCTGGGCAGGGGCCATCTGCGGGACAAGGTAGGTTACCAAGGTCACTGCTTGCACCTGCAAGTCGGGCTTTAGCAGCTCAGCCAGGAATGAAGCTGCAGCCTTCTGTGTATTCTAAATGTGGAACAGAAGAGGCCAAGTTTGAGATCTCATGTGCCTGCTGGAGGCTGGGGCTGTTGGGGAGCTGCGCTGGGTGCATGGTGGGGTGCAGGCCGCATGGCTCACGTGAAGCGCCACGTGCTGTCCCTGGGCCTGGCCTTTGCTGCGGAAGCGCTGAGGTGGCCTCGCCTGTGGGGACCCTGCCCGGGGTTCCTCCCGCTGCTGCTCTCTGTCCTTCTGTTAGTCCGGAGGAGGTCTTGCTGGGATTGAGAAACTACCCCTGGCTTTACATCCTCTTCTCCATGACCTCACTCGGTTTGATTCTGTTTCTCGCCGGGCACCTCACGGCAATGCACTTAGCAGTGCGGCCTTGTCTGCTTCCCTTGCTCACTGATTTCAGCATGTTTTAGGGAACCAGTGGGTACCGTGTGTGGAGTGGAGTGCGGGTCCTGCTGCAAGGTCACGGCCCAGCGTCCAGAGGCAGGTGTGCCAAGCTCGGGGCTTTGTGTGTGCGCTGCTTCGTCACCCCGGAGCCTGGGGAGGGTGGGGTCACTGCCACCAGCAGGCCCTTGAGTGCAAGGCGGGGACAGCGGGGGAGGAGGGACACGTGCACTGGCGCCCTGGAAGGCCGATGGCGTGTTCACCCCGCTGTGGGTCACCGTGCACAGGCTGAATTGGGCTCTGTCCTAGGTCAGCTGCACCGAGACCGCGTGGAGGGAGAAAGCTAGCTTCCTTTGGGTCAGAGTTGGACAGCAAAGCAGAAAACAACAAATAGAACCTTTCGGAAGCTACCTACAGTGACTCCCTCCCTTTTGTTTTGCCCTTTCCCGCGTCCAGATGCCACAGCTGTGAAAGGTTACATTTCTGGAAGGAGGGAACTAGTCCATTTGGGGGTCTGTGGTCCCAGGAGACTGCTCAACCCTGCTGTGTGCTCGCAGTGCAAGTCCCCTCATGGGTCCAGAGCTGCCTGCCTGCCTGAGGCTGTCGGCCTGGCCCAGTTTGGGGTAGGGAAGGAGCCTTTGCTACTGCAGTTGGGGTAGTGGGGAGATCTGTGTGTGCCTCGGGCTTCCTAGGGACAAGAGGTGAAATAACGGAAAAGTGGGGCGGCCTGGGCCACACGTCCAGGGTTATGGAGCGTCCATCCTGCTCAGCAAAGGTGCAGGGCCCTGTGACTGTAGGATGCAGGCTGCTCCTAGCCTGCTCCGTCTGCCGTGGTGCAGAGCTGAGCACAGGGCTCCTGGTGGCCCCTGGCAGCCGGACCTGTCCATCCTCACAACAGAGCCGGTCTGGGGTCTGGAGGAGCAGAGGATGACCCGAGGCTCCGCCAAGCCGGCGTCAGTCCGAGCCAGGGCCTCACCCGCGGCCTGTCGGAAGCCGGCTTGGAGGCGGGCACCGAGGTTAGGCTGAGGTGATAGTACGGGAAGGGTGGGCCTGGGCTGCAGGAGCGCAGACAAAGTCACCACTGCTCAGGTCTCTGCTGATTGATCACAAGCAGACCGGAAGCTACTTCTGACTGCAGACCCCCCAGGGGAGGTGGCCTGATGTTTCTAGAGAGAACCAGGTGGCTGCTTTTGGCTCCTGCAGCATTTCTAGCACCAGGGGTTGTTGGCTTGGGACACCCTGATCTGGGCTGCATCCTGGGTGGGACAGGGAGTCAGGGTGCCCTCCCGCCCTGCAGTGGGCTTGCTTGCTTGGGGTGAGGTGGCAGAGTGCCAGGCTCTGTCCTCCTGGTGCCTCTGGGCACCAAGTCATGTCCTCACCTTGCCGTACACCAGGAAGTTCCTGTCCCTGCTTGGGGATCACCTGGAGGAGGAAGCAGGGTCCCTGCAGGAGACAGGAGAGGTGAGCCTGCCTGGGAGCTGCCTGGACCCGTGAGGACTGTGGTCTGCCCTGGAGTCCTGTTAGGAGGACATGCTGGGGTGGTGTCCCTGATCCTGTGGTTCTGAGGCCCTGTGTGCTGTGGGAGCTGCCACCTTTCTGCTGACCTCAGGACCCCAGGCCTGTTGCCTGCCCGAGAGGAGGCCTCACTGTGCGGCACCTGCTGTGCCCTCCCTCTGGTGCGAGGTCCCAGCCTCTGAGTTGCTGAGGGAGGCCTGAGCAGCGGCACTGGCTGGGGCGGGCCTGTGCTGAAGGTGAGTGAAGCTGTCCAGGAGGGGTTGCGGCATCTCAGGGCCGGGCAAACAGGAGGGTGGGTGAGTGGTGCCATGGCTCTCGAGGAGGAGGGTGTCACTGCCCTGGCTCAGATGGTGCTGGGACGTCATGGCCAAGGACAATGGGAACACAGTAGAGACCACTTCCTGGTAAAAGGCATTTGGAAACCATGGGACCCGAGACTCTGGAAGAGGCTGAGGCAGGAGGGTCTTGAGCGAGGGTGGCCTCCTGTGCTCCAACGGGGATGGCGCTAGTCGGAGAACAAGCTGGCGAAGGACTTCCTCAAGTTGCGGATGGTCTCGGCCTTGGCCTCGTCCTCACTCGGGGTCCCGTGCTGCGAGGCGTCTGATGTGCTGAGGCTGTTGGTCAGGGACTGGGATTTGCTGAAACAGAAAGGCAGGGGTTTGGTGCCAAGGCCCAGACTCCCCGGGAGGTGGGGCTGGGGACAGGGAAGCCAGAAGGCACCAGTGCATGCGTCCTGGGTTGGGTAGGGGTCATGCACAGAGCTGTTTCTGCATGTGGGCATGGGCACAGCATCCTGTGAGGGGGCGCAGAGTGCCTGTCCCCTGCCTGTGTGCAGTGCTGGGGCCCAGGCCACATGCTATACCCTGCCTCTGAGGCTGCAGGCCCCTTTGCTCCCTGGACCGCTCTGTGTCCTGGGCTGAAGCCTCCGCCGTGCCACATCTGGCTCCACGGTGGAGCGAAGCTGGCAGCAGCACTGCTCCAAGTGCTTCCTGTGTGCCAGACCCGGGGCTGGGTGAGCGTGGCAGGCCCTGCCCGAGAGGCTCAGGTCCAGTGGAGGTGGTGGACGGGGAAGGAGATGATGCGAATGCGGCACAGGTTTGTTTTTGAGATAAGGTCTTACTGGGTATTCCAGCCCAGCCTTGAACTCAGTCCTAGCCCAGGCCGCCCCCAGCTCACTTCAGACCTCCTGCTCGGGAGGGGCCACGGCATGCGCCCATGACTGTGACCAGTGTAGCACAAGTTTGAGATCGTGCTCACATTGAAAGGCTGAAGCCTCTCCCAGGCAGGGCTTCCCTACTCTTGGCAGTTCCCTTGCAGCCTCCCAGTGCCACCGAAGCAGAAAAAACAGGTGTGGTGAGACATATCTGTAGCCCCAGCACTCTGGGAGGCTGAGGCAGGAAGATCTAAAGTTGGAGCCCACCTTGGGCAATTTAGCAAACTTACTGAGGGCCTGTTTTAAAGCCTTACAAGAGCTGGGGATGTAACTCAGCATGAAGGCTCTGGGTTCATTCTCCAGTACTGGAAAAAATTTTCTCTAGAGCAGTGAGCTCTTGCTTCTAGCTGGGTTTCCCTGTGTCAGTGCCCAAGCCTGGCTGAGGTCTGGATGCCCCCGTAGGCCCTGTCCCGAGCTGGGACTGCCCTTTCACACTGCGATGGCTGTGTTTACCGCTGGTGACGATGTCCATCTCAGCCGGGTGGCTCCCTGCTTTGCCTGTGAGGACACCACAGAAGCACAGAGGCCGAACTACTTGTCTGAGACCACACAGCTCCTCCTTCTGTGACGCAGCTGAACTCAGCCTGACTCTAGGGGCTGCGCCCTGGGCAGCTGTGCCCTGTCGCCTGCCCGGAGGTTGCAGCTAATGCCTACTGCACAGAAACTGTGCAGCATCATTCCAGGTGAGAGTGAATGTCGAGGTTATCACTTCGGCAATGCCTGTGGGATCACGTTCACGATGCAGTTAGGCGGAGCATGTGGTTGCTGTGTAGTGGGGAGCACCATGTAGCTGTGAAAAAGATGTCAGAAGTGGAGGCAGAGCCCTGGGGTTTACTGTGAGACACAAAGCCGGAGCGGAGTGCTGTGGGTACCACTGTGTGTGAGTTGGGAGGGGATCAGCAGGTGTGTGTATTTCATTTTATTTTTTGCATTACTTGAACCTAGGGTGTTTGCACCAAGGTACATCCCCAGCACTGCCACCCCTTTCACATTTTGAGATAGGGTCTCGTAAAGTTACTAAGTTATCCGGGCTGAGCTTGAACTTGGGATCCTCCTGCCTTAGCCTTTGAGACTGCTGGGATTATAGGTGGCATCAGCACTCCTGGCTAGAAGGTGCATGTTTGTTTTCTCATAAGGAAAGACTGGCAGGACACATGGGGAATGATGCCAGTGGTCACCTCCTGGGACAAGAGGAGCGGTGCATCAGAGGGGAGGGAATAGGAGGGAGGTTTTCGAGGTGAATCTTTGGCGTCACCGGTCTGTTAGATTCCTGAACCACGTGGCTCTGCTACCTACTGGTGAGAAGTTGCTCTGAGCCTGATCGCTGGACCAGACCTGGCCTGTCTCAGCCTCTCTGTCCTCTAGTGGTGGAAATGTCCTCCAGACTCTCAGCCTCTCTGTTCCGTCCTCTGCACACGGGATAGACAGCTGACAGCCACTAACCCTAAGAGGTGAGGAGCCCACTGGCTGGGGTGCTGCACTAGGACATGGTGTGGGCGGTGTGGGGAGGCGGGGCTCCCTCTTCCTAACCTCACACAGGAGAAGCCCACCTGAGAGGAAGCAGTGTGTCCTGTTGCCATCCCCAGGCCGACCTTGTGCAGAGCCTGGGCTCAGCTGAGTGACTGTGAACCAAACTGTGCCCTTCCTTCCAGGGCTGGACCTCCAGAGGCCTTGCAGCATGGCTTCTGCCCTCCTGGAGATGAATTCTACTGCATGGGCCAGCAGGGCCCGGCCCAGGCAAGGTGAGGTCCCACAGCTGGCACCAACAACCACGTGTGCGCGAGGCCCTCCAGGACCGTCCAGCCCCGTGAAGCTGCCATATGAAAACCCAGGAGCACAGGGTCATCAGGGTTGGCAAATAAAAACACAAGCACCCAGATACTTTAAAATTTTAAATGGAAGACACATATATCACTTAAAAGTATAAGTATCCTTGTTGGGCCTGGTGGTACATGGCTGTAACCCAGCACTTGGGAGGCCGAGGCAGGAAGATACTGAGTTCAAGGCTCTACATTGTAAGTTCAAGCCTGGACTACAATCAAATCTCTGTCTCAAAAACAAAAATTAAAAAGTGTAAGTATATCCTCTGCAAAATTTGGGGCTTGCTTAGAGTCAGAGTTACGTCTTGGGGACACCCCTTGTTTTATCCAGTGATTTTCTGGTTGACACTAGCAGAAGAACCATCCAGCTGAGCCCATTTCAGAACAAACCATGAAACCAAGAAAACAGCTTGTTTTTTCACCCCCTAAGTTTTGGGGGCTTACTGTGCAGGAACAGGAAGTGGTAACGTGCACGGAGGGTGTGGGGCCATCTCCACTCTGACTTGCTTTGCCCTGCCTTGCTGATGCCACTCCCTGAAAGCTCAGCCAGGGATCCCTTGGTCCACCTTTGTCAGTCCAGCCTGCTCCGGCCGCTGCTGCCCACAATACTTACTTGAGGTGGGGATGGAGTGGTGCTGTCTTCTTGGGCTCCTCTACCTGCTGGGAAGTGCTGCGGCCCTGTGCAGGGGGCCGGGGCTGGGATGGGAGGGTGGAGCCTGGCTTGGAGGCCTGGCCTGGGGAGGAGCCCCCTGAAGCCCGGGCCAGCTGTGGAGAGCCTGGGGACCTCTGCGGCTGTGGGGACCCGGGTTGGGGGCTCAGGGGATGCTGGCCTTGTGGGGAGAGCCGCTGCTGGGAGGGGCTTCGAGACCTCGGGGGCTGCGGAGACTGAGCCTGGCGAGGGCCCCCTGCAGGAGAGCGAGAGAGGGGAGAGAAAAGTTAAGACAGCATAAGGGCGGAAACAGTGCCCACACGCACTCTGGACAGTGCCATCTGTGACTGGGAGTGCCCGGGAGCTTGGAGTCCATCATGAAGTGGAGGAGATGGTGGCATCACTGACACGGGTGTCGTTAGTCACACACTGATCGCTGCACTGAAAAGCAGCACAGATGTGCAGAGCTGCATGAAAGAGCGAGCCTGGGAGGCAGCACAGGAACCACGGCCCAGCTCCGGTCTGAGGTCTCCGTGGTCGCAGGTGCCGTGGGGGAGGTTTGCCCCACAGTCACAGTAACCGTCGGTGTGGCTGCACTTGGGGACTGGGTCTCTAAGGAGCCCAGCAAGGCAGAGGTGACCCTGATCCACAGGCTGGGTCCCACAGGAAGAGGGGACATGGAGGCAGCGGAGAGGAGCCAGGGGAAACCAGCCCCACTCACGCCTGACCCTGCAGCTGCAGCCCGGAGCCTGGAAGACAAATGCTGCGGCCTTGCTTGCTCTAAGGCAGTGGAGGCTGCAGGCAGAAGCAGCTCCCATCGCGGGGCGGTGCCATCCCGAGTCATCCCGCTCCTGCTCCCGCTCCGCAGCACCAGACCATGGAAGGAGCCACCTTAGTTGGGGGCTGCTCTCGATACTTTGCTAGAACCTCCAGGGGCCCCATATTTTTGCTCTAGAGAGGCCGTGGGAGGTGCATTCCACTCAGCACCCAGGGGTGGCATGAGCCTCCCAAGGGGACATAGGCAGGGGCGGTGGCCTCCCGCAGGTGCAGGCACCCGGTGCTTCAACCCAAGGGCCCGCTCCTTCCTGTCTTCTCTGCGCCTCCCTCCCTTCTTTCCTCCTTTCCCTCTTCTTCCTCCTCTCCATCCCGGGGTGCCCTGAGTCCTTGGAGGCAGCTTCCGGCGACAGTGGCGGCTCCGAGCAGGCTGAGGCCTGGCTCTTGACCCCCTGTGGCTGGCCCGGGGTGGCCCTGTGCACACTGGCATGGGAGCCGCCCCGACCCCAACCTGTGGCTGCGGTGTGGGTGTTGGGGTGTTGTGTTGGTGGAGTCACGAGCCTCCCTCCTGTTAGCTCACAGCACTTCCCCAAGGGGGCTCTGCAGCCCCTTGTGACAGAACTGTGGCTTGAATTCCTACGGGTCCAGCAGGGGTGCAAAGGAAACAGACACAGCCACGGAGCCATTTCTCTAAAGAGGACAAACCTGGGGGTAACAGACTCCCTGTCACCCTGGAGGCCACAACAGAAGAGGGAGGCCCAGGAAGTAGGGAGCCCTTGCCTGTTCACAGAAACCCCCGGCTGGCTGCTTCTAGGACTTCGGGGCCATCAAGAGAGGGTGGAGATTTGGGGAGCTTGAGATAGAATCTAGATGTTTGAGCCTGGACTCATGATGCACACCTCTAATCCCAGCCCTCAGGAAGCTGAGGTAGGAGAATCACCGCAAGGTGGAGGTCAGCCTGGGGTACATAGTGAGTTCAAGGCCAGCCTGAACTACATAGCGAGAGTCTGTTAAAAACAAAAGCCAAAGCAACAACAAAACTAGATGTTTAAGATGAAGTTCCTGGTTTTTAAATGTTGGCTACATTTCTTGTTTTTTAAAACCACTGCAAATCAGTGCTTTGGAAAATTGTATTCCTTCAGAACCTTGTTAGCTGTTTCCAGAGCCCAAGAGGTGCTCCAGCTGGTTCTCAGTTCTAGGCAGAGCACCCATAGCGCATTAGCTGAAGGGTGGGGCGTGCTCAGGATCAGTGCTGAGAAACCATGAGGTTTATTAAGAGAGATTTTCCCTCTGAGTTGGACAGGCGGTGCTGGGGAGAGGAGCCACTCCTTCGCGGTCTCGCACACCTCCAATCATTAAGCACGCGGCCATTCCTCCTTTATCTGAGGAAACTGAGGCTTGGACAGCAGCTGTCACTTGCCTAAGACTCGTTCACACACCGCTTGTTTGGGTTGGCGCCTAAATGTCCCCACAAGGCCACGCGCGCGTGCACACACAATTCTCAATATGCGCTGCACTCTGTGCTCCCCCACACCCCATGGTAACGGCCTCACATTGAGCCACATTACAGCCCTTTCTGTAATTTTTATTTTTAGACAGGTCATGCCAAGTCCCTAAGTAGCCCAGGCTGAGATCAAACTTGAGATCCTCCTGCCTCGGCTTCCCAGAGTATGGGCTGATAGGCTGCACCACCACGCCCAGCTCACATTAAATGCCCTACACAGCATGCTCTCTCCTTTCTCTACTGCCCGGCCTTCCTTACTCTGCTCTTGGGTTGAGAGCAGTGTCCAGAGAGGAAGACCGAGAGTCTCTGAGAGCCCCTGTGTCCCCCAGGGTCTTACCTTGTGGCGGTGGGCGTGGCTGGGGCTGTCCCAGCTGAGGCCCCAACTGGCCTTGGCCTGGAGATTTTGCTGGCTTAGTCTGCGGAGAAGGAAAAGGAAGCTGGTTGTGCCGGCCACACCATTCACTTCCCAGGTGGGAGGAGATTTGTAGGGAGATTTTGTCATGGAGGCCAGACCCACGTCAGTGCATGGTACTCTTTAAAAATCCTTTGTGTGGGGCCAGGGATTTAGCTCAGTGGTTCTGCTGCCTGCCTCGCAGGCACAAGGACCTGAGTTTGATCCCTGGTACCCCCCACCCCCCAAAAAAGAAATTTTTTTTGTGTGTGGCCTTGAATGCTCAACATAGCCCACATTGGACTTGAACTTGCAGGATCCTCCTGCCTCAGCCTCCTGGATGCTGGAATCACAGGTGTGCGCCACTGTGCCCTGCTATCTGTGTGTGGTTCTTAGGTGGACACCGGGGTGTCACCACCACCACCACATAGGCTGTGGGGGGGCTGCCCTGGCCCCCAGCAAACCTGGAATTCCACCTTTACAGCTGAGGCCCTGGCAAGGCGGGGCTGCGACCTGGGACCTGCCTGAAGGCGGCAGCAAGTTCCCAGCACCGTGGCGGGCATGGGGCTCTGTGGGAGTGTGCTTGGGTGGGGGCAGGAGACACAATGGTCCCCGCTGACTGGCGCTGCGCACCCCTTCCCCCTCTGCTCTCTCACGCCCTACCCGGGCCCAGGTGAGAAGAGCTCTTCCTCTTGGAATGGAGGAGGTGACCTCCAGCACACCCCAAACTGTCCACACCTGCCCCTTCCCTGGGACGTCACCTTGCACCCGGGCCCCAGGCTAGAGAGCAGGCCAGGCTTTTCCTGGCCCCAGAACCTCACCCAGGGCCTCAGGGGCGAGGGCACCGTGGCCCCTGGCAGCAGGAGCTGGCTCATCCTGGACACCACGAGGTCGGCCATCAGCTGCCTGTCATCCTCCACGTGCTCCCCAATCAGGGGCATTGAGCTGTCCATGACCTGCAGAGACAGAGGGCTCAGGGACCTGTAGGGCAGGGTGGCCACAAGGTGGCACCGTCCCCAAGCAAACCTGCAGTGGTTCTGCAGTGGCTCCTTGATCTGGTTCAGTTCTGACTGTCCAGCCTCCGGCCGCTGGTGACAGCCCTGTGACCAGGCTGCCCTTTCCTGTCCTCTTAGGGGGCTGTCCCGTCCCTGCCTTTCCCATCAGCCCTGAGGGTTAGGGGCCACCTGTCCCTGGCCAGGGTCAAGGTGGCCAGAAACGGTACAGACCAGGCCATGGAGGGAAGTGGGGATGGGCTGTCCCTCTGTCCTTCAGGGACCCTGACCTCACAGGGTGCAGAGACTTTGTATGTTGGGCGGGCTGAGAGCGCACACTAGCCCATCCTGCTGCTGCTGGATGGAGAAACTGAGGCCTGGAGAGGGAGGGGCTGGCCTGACCAGGGGTCCAGCCTGGAAGTCCCAGGCCTGGGCGCCCCCATCCCCCTGTCCTGCTGGTGTTCTGATCTGAGTCCTTGCACACTCCCAGCCTCCTGGCTGACCCTCTGACCCAGGTGGGAGGTGCACGGAGGGCAGCAGGAAGCCAGGTCCTGAGGACCACAGAGTGCTCGGTCCTCACAGCCTGGGGGTCCTGCAGAAACCAGTGGGGACTTGTCCAACCCACTAGCTGCTCTTGGGATGGATGCACGTGTTCCAGGGTGTCCTGGCACAAAGTGACCCCAGATCAGCTCATGGGAGGTGGCCGCCAGCTCCTCACAGGTCCTTCAGGGGACCCAGGAGGAGCTGAGCCCAACTGGGTGATGCCCACCGTGCACCAGGGCTGCTCTGTGTCACGGTCACCGGCACGGACCCCTCTGGCTGGTCTCCGCTCTCACTTTGCCCCCGGTGTCCTGCTCAGGTCTTCGTCCCAGATACCAAGAGCCCACTGGGACAGTCACGCCAGTGACGTGTTAGGCAGACCCACTGCTGTCCTCACTCTGTGGGCCCCACTCATAAACCCTGGGCTGGAGGAGGCGCTCCCAGCACACACCCGCCGCAGGGACAGGACGGGGTCGTCCAGCACCACAGGGGCATCACAGTCCCCCATTGGGACGAGGCCCCCGAGGGCCAAACAGGGCAGGGAGGAAGCTGGGGAGGCCAGTGTGGGGCCAGGCCTGCTGCCTCAGAGTCACTTCCCCAGCAGCAAGCTGCATGTGGTCCGCACGGGAAGCACCGGCGGTGCGAGGCCATGAAGCCAGGTCCTCAGGAGCTGGTGTGTCCCCGCAGGCCACAGCGGCGTGCACAGCCTGTCCCTCACCACAGTTCACAGAAGCACCATTTGCTGGCCATGGAGCTGGGGTGGTGCCAGGCTGCAGGGTCTCGGCCTTCTGTGTGCTTATGGGGACAGCAGCTCCCCGATGTCCTCAAACCCCAAGGAAGGGGCACTCCACGGAGTCTCCTGGGGCAATAGCTCTGAGCGCCACTCTAACCACCTTCTTTCTAATGTGAGTTTTCCTCTGGCTGCTGGGTCCTGGGAGGAGGTGATGGGCTGGCTGTGCTCTCTGTGCTGGGGGTGGGACAGGGTGGAGGGCGGAGCAGGCACTGGGGACACAGGGGATGAGGTACCAGCTGTCCTGTGCCCCTGCCTCTGCTCACCGGCCCTGGCCTGCAGCACCCAGACAGGTGGCTCAGTATCTGGGGCCCAGTGGGGTGCTCCAGGGTGTCACCCAGGTTGCAGGGAGGCCCTTGGTCTCCAGCTGAGTCCCCCATTAGCTGCCCAGGGCTCTGTCCCGTGTCTGTGGTCTGGATGCACTGGGAGCCGAGAGTGGGGGTGGGGAGCAGGGTGTTGGATGGGGGCCGTGAGTGTCCTGAACCCACCCATTTCCTGCTCTCTTCTCTGCCAGCTGCAGCCAAACACCCATCCTGCTCACTGCTGTGTCCCCAAGCCACCCAAGCCTAGTCACGGGAGCCCCGAAGCTCATGTCTTGTAAATAAAAAATGTGAACTCTTTGCAGAGTGACCAGGAAAAGTGCGTCCACCTCACACACTGGGACGCTGGCAAGGGCCCAGGGGACAGTCTGGTGAGTCACCCTGTATCATCTCCCCTTGGCCTGGGGAGTGGTCACCCCCAGGCCTATGCCGGGCGCAGGCCGCCGAGACCTAGGCCGGGCCCCGTACCTCTATGATGAAGTCTCTGCCGTCCTTGCTGTGCACGGCCTTCACTGCACAGATGTCCAGGCCTCCAAACATCTCGGAGCAGCTGTCCACCCACAGCCGGTACCTGTGGGAAGCGACAGGTGACAGTGACACCCGGAGCAGGACCACAGGGGAGGGCGGGACACCCAGCGGGACAGGTGGACGGCCACACGGCCACAGACGTGCGTGTGCGCACACACGCGCAGACACAGGCACGGTGGTGTGACGATTGCACAGGAAGTGTTCAGATAAAGCGCTGGTTATGTAAAGGACACATCGCCCTTCCTCCCCTGGCTTCAGACACACTCATCCCATCGTCCGCGCCACTGTCTGCGGCAGCTCTGGAGTCCTCTTTCCTGAGGCTTCCTCTCTCTGAGGTGTGGTCCAGCGTAGGCGTCTGCTGCTGGCCGAGCCCCATCCAACAGAAAGGGCTCAGAAACACAGGCGCCATGTGACTTCCGGCTCTTCCCAAAGTCAAAGCGAGCGAGAAAGGGAGACGTCTGAATCCATTCAGGACGTGCAGGCAGCCCGGACAGCGCAGCTACTGCCCCTCGGTAAAGAGGGCTCCAGAGCTGCGGCAAAACTGGGCAAGAAGGAAGGGATGAGCGTGTTTCAAGCAGCGAGCGGGATTTGAGGGGATTCGTGGAATGTGGCTTTTACTGTAATCATTAAACGCAAGCACCGCGATACTGGGTGTGATAACAATTACAACGAATGTTTTAATTAAAAATATATATGGATATAAATGGAGGGGAAGAGAGGACAGCAGCCTCTCAGAGCCCCTCCCTGCCCCATCCAGAGTGTCTGGGCCACCTTCCCCTGGGAAGGCCACCCCAGGGCCTAGCTGCCCTCCCAGCTCGCAGACGGGAGCCTGCCCAGCCCTGTGAGATTCCTGAGGACAAAGGGCGCATTCTCCCTGTGCGGGGGATGCAGGCCCTGTGGCCCTGCTGCTTTTCTTCCCGGTCAGCCCCCTGATGGCGGCATGGCAGTTTGCTTTGCTGGGGACACAGCCCAAGCCAGACCCTGCCGCGGGGTGGCTGTCCCTGGCCGTCTTCCCTTGACTCCTGTCGTGGGCAGCTTGGGGAATTACGGGAGTCGCTGCCCTTGCCCTCTCCTGGCTCCTGGGACACCGGACAGCGCCTGCTCCCTGTTCTGTTTGTGCCCCTGAGCCTCTGGCCTGGTGAGAAGGGTGGTGACCAAGTGGCTGGAAGGGGTGCTGCCCTCCACCTGCAGGCCGGCTGGTCTCGGTGAGGACGGAGGGGAGGAGGGGCGGGGCTCCTGTCTGGAGCTCCCCGGGTGCCCTCCAGCTCTGAACCCATTCTACAGAGGGGAAGCAGAAGCCCGGAGAGGTCACTAAGTGCCCTGCCATCTGGTGCTGCTGAGTGAGGAGCCAGGCCTTCGGTGTGTGCTCCATACCCCCGCAGTAGTGGGGGTGCCTCTCGGTCCCTTTGTGTGTGCAATGCATAGGCCATGGCTGCCCTTGGCAGACCCAGGCTGAGAACTGCCTCTCCAATCCGGGAGGCTGGGGCCGCTGCCTGTGAGCACCTGGGAGAGAGCCACCCTGCCTCAGCCACTTGGCCCTGCTGTGCTGGGGCAGGCACTCGAGAGTCTGGCTAGGGCTGGCAGCACCCAGGCTGAAGACGCAGACCAGTTTCCTCTGGGCTGGGCACTGGGCACCCTCTCACCATGCTGCCTCCACTCCAGGCAGGGTCGGGAAGGCTCGTTCCTCTGAAGGTCACACAGCAGGGGACTTTCCCTTGAGCTGGGTGGCGGCCCAGAGCCCTGATTTGGGTCCTCTGGGTCCCCCAGCTCCTACTCAGGCTTTCTTTCCTTTGCTCCACCCTGCTTTTTTTCAAACTACTGGAATTGAACCCAGGGCCTTTGCACCGAGTTGCATCCCCAGCCCTTTTTTGTTTAATTTTTTAATTTTGAGACAGGGTCTCTAAACTCTAAGATGCCCAGGAACCTGACACCCTCCAGCCTCAGCCTCCCAGGGTGCTGGGGTGACAGGTTTCTTCTCCCTTGTGGGGCCCCTCCCCTGAGCCCTGGCCACACCCTGGAGCACAGAGGAGTGCTCTTTGTGGATCTGAGGATCCTGAAGTCCCTAGGGCCAGACCAGACGTCCAGTCTCCGCAGAGGGGTGGGCAGGGCGGCCAGAGGAGGCTCCATTGCAGCACTCGTGGAAAAGCGAGGCCTGAGCCTGTGCAGCCGTGGCTCCCGCTGCGGACCAGCTCATACGTTCTGAGTTCCGCGTGAGGGCCAGAGTCTCCAGGTGGTGGCCTGGGCTGACCAGCCCTGCCCTGCACTGTCTGCTGGCTGTGAGCAGAGGCCCTGTCTAGGGGAGGTGGCAGACGTGCTCAGGATGGACAGATGGAACCCATGCCTGGGAACACGCCTGCCTGGGCCGAAGGCTCCACCCTCTCCTGGGGCACGGGGGACCCCTGCATACGGGCCGGCTGTCATCGCCAGCTTGGTGAGGGGACACAGCACCTCCCCCAGCCCGCCCTGCCGGGGCATGGTCTCCCAGCCGTGGTCTCTTACCTCTCAGTCATGGCCACCTGCTCCAGCATGGCCGAGCCCGTGTTGGCCTTCCAGTTCCCCGAGATTGAGGTTCTCCTGTGGCAGACATGCGTGTGAGGGGTGTCCTGGCCCACCCACCCCCTGCCTGCTGCCGAGGGCCCTGGTCCGGCATCCATGTGAGCTGTGGCTCCGGCTTCGGGAGCACACCGACCCAGCCTGCCTTTCCCGATTGTACTGTCCTTCCTGTGATGACTTGTTTGTTGGATCTTACGTATTATTTCCTACACCTTTTTTTACATTTAAAGATTATTTCTAAAAAAGCTCATACTGTCTGAGAAAACCACCTGACCTTAGTGCTGTGGCAGTGTCCTGAAAGGTCCAGGGCTTGGGGCTGGGTCCACACTTGTCGCTGTTGAGATGGAGCCTTTGAGCAGGAAAGTCGGGCCATGAAGTGTCCTTTGGAGGGGGCACGGAGCCTCTCCATCTCTTCCTTGGCTTCCTGGTTGTCTGAGGAAAGCTGGGCCTGGGCTGCCAGACGCCCAAAGGAACCAGGGCCTGAAAGCTCTGAAACTGAGCCCAAGCCAAACTTTCTTTTTAAGGTGATTCATCTTGGGTGTTTTGTGTCAGTAATGAAACGCTGAATAATGGGCTGGATCTCTTGTTTTCAAGGAGAACGAGGGGCAGTGTAGGCCTTGATTCTGGGAGATTTTGCAGACCCCAAACTGCGGCAAGTGGTGACTTTTACCCACTGGGAGGGGCAGGCAGGCTGTCAGCGGCCGCCTGTCTCATCTGTCTTCCCAGCCTTCTCCGCACCGTGCCTGGAGGTTGTTCTGCCACCTCCCAGGGCTCTGTGTGCATGGCCTGTCTCAGCCTCCCTGTACCTCACCTCCCAGACTGCTCTCCCTGCGGCTCCTGTGAGGTGCGGCTCTCTCTGAACTGGCCTTCTTGCGGGCAACGCTCCTTCCAACTGCCTTGGGCCCGTCTGCCCCGAGGGGTCGGTGCACTGCCATCCGGGGACCCCTCCAGGGCACGGCACTACAAGGTAGGGCTCCATGGCCACCCCAAGGACTGTGGCCTCAGACTGGAAGGCGGGGGCGGGGAGTTAGTTCCAAACTGAGGAGGAAGCAGTCACCTGAGACCCCAGAGCAGCTGTCGTGGGCCTTGGAAGGTGAACAGGGATGACCCAGGTGGGCCAGGGACGCCGAGAGAGAGGAGAGTTGGATTCCCAGCTCCAGCCCTTGCTGGCAGTGTAACCATGGCAACACCTCGGAGTCTGTTTCCTGGTAAAATGGGAGCAACCCTGGTCCCATCCTGTTTGGGGCTTCTCGTGCCCTGGAAGGAAATAGCCCATAAATCTCCTGGCACAATGCAGGCGGAGACAGGAGGAGCTGGTGTCCGGGCTGAGGCCACAGGAATGAGAGAACAACGCAGGGCACATGAGGGGCCACCGGCAGCGCTCACCTCGGCTCTCGGGGTCCTCAGAGCGGCGCTGTCATCGCTGCCCCATGCCGAGTCTCAGCTCGGTGCTGGTGGCCAGAGCCCTCCACGGATGAGCCACGGCCACGGCGGACGCGGGAGGGCTTTGGATGTCGGCCCGTGGTCTGAGTCCCTTGGTCCACTTGGGCCACTGCAGCAGAACGCTGAGTGCTCACAGGCGACAGAAACTTCCGCTGGGTGCGGTGGTGCATGCCTGTGACCCCAGCAGTTTGGGAGGCTGAGGCAGGAGCACAGAAAGTTTAAGCCAGTCTGGACAACTTAGCGAGACCCTGTCGTAAAGTTAAAATTAAAGGGGCTGGGAGGTACTCGGGCTTCCTGTGTTCCATCCACAGTACTGCTCAACGCCACCACCCAAACCCAAGCAAAACCCAGACATGGCTCTGTCTCCATTCTGGGGTCGGGAAGTCCACGCTGGCACATGTGACCCTCGGCTCAGCGTGCAGGTGGGGGGCACGCAGAGATATTATGGAGGATGAGTGCTTGTGCACACTGTCTCACGGGGTCTGCTCGGGGAACTCTGACACAGGACAGCAGGCGCCGGGCAGAGCGGGACGTGGCCAGGCGGGGCCCACGCTCCCCCAGAGCCCCTCCCTGGTGCGGGCGCCCAGGGGCCAGGAGAGTGGGACTGATGACACATTGTAGCTGTCAGGACACAGCGGCTCCTCATAAAGCATGAGGCGATGAGGTAATCGGAGAGAGAAGAAAGTGGGACGAGGTGTGGCCACTGAGGGGAGCTTGGACAGGAGGGAAATGACATCGCCATGGCCGTGCTGTGTGGAGGGTGAGAGGGGTCCGAGCACCCCGGGGGTGCGGGGGGCAGAGTCAGCTCGCACGGTCCAGGGTGGAGGGTGACAGGCAGGGCAGAGCGCGCCCCAAGGACCAGGCCCGTGCTGCTCTCTGGGTCTGTCCCCGTGTCTGCTCCCGAGTCCCAGGCAGCACCCGAGAAGGCAATCCAAACAGACCACACGGTCCTGAAGCCGAGTCGCCACTTGGCCCTCTGGGGAACACACAGCCAGGAGTGCAGGCGCAGCCAGAGCCACAGGGCCTGACACGGCGGCCGTGGCTAGCGTGACTTCTCTGGGCAGCGGGTGGTGGCGGGCTCCTTCTTGGGCCCTGGCTGCTTGGCACCGAGTTCAAGCACAGAGCGGCTCTGCCCTGCCCAGGCCCGACCGCCAGGCCTCCTGTGTGCGGCGCGGCGGCACACACAGCTGGCCCTCGGGCCTCAGCCTCAAGGCGTGTGGACACAGCCTTCCCAAGAGGTCCGGGACATTCGACCTCTCTGGAGGCCAGGCCTCCACCTCTCCAGCCGGCCCCAGCCCTGGTGACCGTCCTTGTGCACCTCTGCCAGTCCTGGGGGCCGTTCTTCCTGCCTTTCCTCCAGCCACAGAGCTGCGTCTGGAGGGAATGCCGCCTGCTTTGCGTGCTTCTGGGTGGGCTCGCCACATCGGCGCCTGTCTTCCCTAGCCAACCGCTGCTTCCATGGGATCCAGTCTCAGAAAAGCACTGGGGATGCTCAGCAGATCCTTGGCCCGGTGCTGTGCCTTCAGGATTGTCCATCATTTCTGGCTGTGCAGACTCCTGGAGCTTCCCAGGACCCTGGTGTCTTTGACGGTGCTGACTCTGACACTGGTGACTTAGTGGGGATTTGTTGGTTAGGGTTTTATAGGTCTGATCTCCTGTGGTTTTCTAATAAATTCCTTTCAGTGAAAATCCCATGAAAAAGTCATCTGGGCCTCCCATTTCTCCTGCCTGCAAGCCCTGATGTGGCCTCCCGGGCAGTGGTCTTTCTTTTTCTTTTACAGTGTGGGCTTTGAATCTAGGCTTCCCTATCACTGACTTACTATTTTACTCTGAGACAGGCTTTCTCTAAGCTGTCCAGGCTGGCCTCAAACTTGTGATCCTCCCGCCTCAGCCTCTGGAACAGCTGGGATTATAGGTGTGTGCCACCATGTCTAGCTTCGAATTGTTTTTATTAATCCCATTGCAGCTACAGCCCTGAGTAATCTGTATTTTTTCGACATTGACTATTGAATCGAGGACCTTTACACTGAGCTATATCCACAGAGCTTCTTTTTTTTACTTTGAGGTCTCCTAGGTTGCTAAGCTGCCTTGGCTGGGCTCAGTCCCCTGCCTCCGCCTCCCACCGTGCTGGGCTGACAGTCTGCACCATGTGGCCACCCAGAGTTACCTTTAAACTGCAGAGTGGGTTGGATGCTTCTCTGCTTTGGGGAGAACTGGAGGCCCAAACCCTTGAAGGCTCCAAAAGGCTGCCTTGCGCCCTGCTCCCAGGGAGCAGCCCATGGGGGAGAGCTCTGCCCAGTTCGGGCCGTGGCTCACACAAGCCGCAACGTCCTGACCACAGAGAGAGCAGCAGAGGGGACAGTGGGGGATGGCCATGAGGCAGGACAGTGGCGTTGCCAGCTGTGTCCCCTGCCCGGGACTCACATGTATGCTTTGTAGTTGGAGCCAATCTTCTGGATGCGGATGTCATACTTGGAGTCAATGAAGGCCTCGGTGGTGGCATAGGTCTTGGCCATGGCTACCACGCTGGTGATGTCCTGGTAGTCCAGCTGGTTCTCCACTTTGATCTGCGTGAGAGGAAGAGGGCATGAGTGTCACCTCCCTGTTGGGGCCGTGTGCCGTGTGTGTGCATGTGCGGGGCACTGTGCACGTACACATACAGGAAGCTCCAGTGCTGGTCGAGGCCCGGGGGTCACTGATGTGTGCTGGGCAGGCTGGGCACCTGGGCAGAGTCCAAGCCCTGACAGTGACCTCAGGGCAGTGCTGTGGGCAGCTGGGTCCCGGGGACCCAGTGCTGGGGGCAGCAGGTTGCGGGCAGCAGCCTCCCCGCTTTCCCATCCTGGCTGCCAGCCCTTGGGCCCCCATCGAGTCCCAGCCCTGACGTCTGCATCCCTCTCCGATGCTGCCACCACCCGTACCCCAACCTGTGGCCCGTAGAAGCCCTGCAGGCCCAGGGGAGACGGAGGGCCCTGTGACAGTCACTTCAGGCAGGAAATGGAGACTTCTGGACCACGGGGCAACAGGCGCAGAGCCGGGCCGTCCTGACTGGTGCAGACCGCCTTCCACAGGGAGGGCCAGACTGCAGCTGACGGAGTCCCCTTCCTGCCTGGACGCCCCCTCTAGTGGTGACACAGCCCCACTGTTCCTAGAAGAGAGGTGGCAGAGGCAGCAGTGCAGAACCAAGCAGCCACTGTGAGGCTGTAGGGACACGGGGGCGACTCTACCGGGTGGGAGTGGCTCAGAGAGGCAGGGCGCAGCCTTGTGTCTGCAGAAAACGCTCCCGAGAGGTTCTGCTGTGAGTGCCCTGCCCGTGTGCCGGTTTAGATTCTGCCGCAGTCTTTGGTATCTTCGGATTGCAGAAGCAGACAGGCTGTCATCTGGCTTTTCATGAGCACTGTATCGCGTGTGAGCCCTGTGGTCCCTTGTAGGAAAAGTGGTGCTGACACAGAGCCACTCCAGAAACTCACCTAAATCCTCGTGCGGGGCCCAGTCTCAGAGCGAGACAGGAGGGCTGACAGAGGAGTTTAATCGTCACTTCATCCTCAGAGCGATGGCAACTCACCAGTCCCTCGCTCACCTCACAAACACTTGGGTGGCACGCAGTGCGCCGTGGGGCTCGTGGGGAGGGGCTGGGTGGGCTTCGCAGTGTCCCTCAGGCCTCGGACGCCTACCAGGAGGGTGGTTTGCGGCTGGATGGACATGTTTAAGAGGTGCTCACTGAGGCTTCGTGCCACCAGCGAGCTCAGCTATTCACTGGGAGCCTGGCGTGCGGGCTCCATGCGCCCTGGACCCTCTAGTGCCGCATTTAGAAGTCGCATTCGTCCTGCCGAGCTGGTGATGGTCGCACGAAGAGACAAAGGACGCTGCTGAGAGGCACCGCTAGAGTAAGTTCAGAGGCTGGGAAGAGGGCTGCGAGGGCCACACCAGCATCACGAGTGACACGGAGCTGAGTGGGATGGGCGCGGAGGTGAGGGCCACACAGGAAGAGGAGAACGGACGAGAGCTGGCCACCGGCAGGGTAGGCGCTGTGGTCGCTCTGAGACCACGCGAGGCCAGGCTTGGTGGGCGGGTCGCCAGGCCCTGTGTGTGAAATGACCTGGGGTGCTGACCCTGGAGAGCCCCGCGCGGCACCGCCTGAAGAGAGCAGTCAACAGCTCAGCGCTGGGGATAGGAAGCCCAGATCCCGCCTTCCCTCCCCTCAGGGCGGGGGCAGCGCCCACTGAGGCAGGCAGAGCTGTGTGCATCTGTGAGCTGGGATGGTCCCTCCACACCACAGGGCCCCAAATCCACGGCTCCATCAATCCTGGGTCCAAAATGCTTGGAAAAGCCTCACGCCCACGCTGAACTTGTCTCCTAACCAGTCCCACGGGATGCAGGATGGTACTGTGTAACGGTGTCTGTGTCACTGAGGTGTCACGTGTGACAGAGATGGCGATGTTCGCAGGGACACGCGCAGGTCAGGAGCAAACACCACCACCGAGTCAGGGCCTGGGCCCCGCAGCCTTGGGGTCGTGACCCAGCCCCTGGGAGCCGAGGTGTGCTGGGGAGCGACGGCGTCCTTTATCAGGCAGATGCGCGGAGCACCTGTGGCCCCCCACGTGGCAGTACTTGCCACGGCCAGGCCTGCAGTGACCCCTCAGGGCCCCGTGTCAGGAGCCCAACCCCCACTGTGGCACCAGTGGGAGGCAGAAGTCAGACCACTGGGGTGTCTGTGCCCTTGAAGGGGACACTGAGACCCCAGCCCCTTCCTTCCCTCTTGCTTCCCAGCCAGCCGGAAGTGAGCAGCTGGCTCCAATACAAGCTCCCGCCCATGGCCCAAAAGCGAGGGCACTCCGTGCTGCCGTGGACTGCAGCCTCCAAGGCTGGGAACCAGCACGAGCCTTCGCCCTGGACACAGTTCTGTCTCAGGTGTGGTGTGAAAGCTGACTAAGGCAGTGCTGAGAACATGGCAACACCTGTGAACGGTGTGGAAGGAAGAGAGTGAACAGCAAATAAAGGGGGAAATGGTGGTGGAAACGTTCTGAAGAAAAGGAGGCAAGGTGGGCGAGGGTGCTGGGCTGGAAAGACCTCCCAGAGGTGGTCTGCAGAGGGAGCCGAGAAGGAGGGCAAGCGAGCAGGCAAGGAATGGTGAATGCAAAGGCCCTGGGGCAGCCTAACACCATCTTCGCGGTGAGACCACACCTGGGAGATGTTGAGTCCCTCTTCGAGGCACAGACTGAGAGATCAAGACACTAATGGGTCGGAGCGGACTCCTGTGAGGAACAGGCTGAGGAAGGGGGAGACACACACACAGGGCCTGAGCAGTAGCGGCCCGTGCTACAGGGTCCTTCAAAATGCCATCCATCAAAAACCTAAAATCAAAGCAAAACTGAGGACAGAAACAACTCAACCCAATAGCCAGTGGGTTTCACCAAGCGGCTGAGAAATGTGTACTTCATTCAGCAGTCGTGCTGTCAGCGATAGGACCGGCGCTGTTATGTGACGACCGTTGCGACAAGTAACCTCCACGTCGTCAGGAGCCAAGTTTCCCCTCTGTGTGCGCTGCAGTGTGAACCCCAGGGCTGTGGGCCCCAGCGGAGCGCTTTGCACGGAGACCGCTAAGCAGAGTAAAGCACACGCAGTCTGTATGTTGGACAAGCGAAGCTCAATCTTCTCTGCACCCCCGAGTCAAAGCGTCGGTTTGACTTTATCATGTGCTTTTCTCCTGTCCCCCAAGAAACCCCTGGCTGACAAAATAGCTTCGCATGGCACACACCCAGACCGTGCCCTAGAGGGGACTCCGCCACTGCCGGCCTGCGGGGGGCGCTGTTCAGGCTGGGGGAGGACGGTGTGCGGCGGAGAGGGCTGCATGTCCAGGACAGCGCGTGACATAGGGATGGGTCGCCCAGCTGGCTGGGCAGCCTGAGGCTCAGAAAGGACAGTGTTGCGCTGGGATGAGGTAGACAGCTGGTGAATCCTCCAGGACTTTGCAGGAGGTCTTGGTCACCTTGGGGTTGCTAAGGCACTGTCTCCTTATTCAGAAAATGGGCCGGGTGCGGAGGTGCACACCTGTAATCCTAGCACTCAGGAGGCTGAGGCAGGAAGACTGCTGTGTGACCAAGGCCATCCTGGGCAACACAATGAAGCATGTAATGAGATCCTGTCCTAAAGAAAATACAGCCTCCAAATCCAAGAAGTGGGCACAGAAAGGGATGAAGAAATGTCCTTATTTTTGACGAATGCAGGAGCGAGAGAGGAGACTGTCACCCACCACAGCCCCGAGAACACTGAGGGGCCCAGTCTGTGGCAACCGCGGCCAAGCCCCTGGGAGGGCCGAGGGAAGCGGCCACGGTGGGGTCGGCCGATGACTCGCACCTCACAGAGCCATTGTTATGCCCACAGGGTCCTCCAGACAGCCTGGCTGCAGGGCTGGCACCGCAGAGCCTGCTCCCCGGTGCCAGGGCCACAGCTGAGCCCGATGGGCTGACTCGGCATCCAGCCATGTCACAGGAAGGGCAGTACGCACAGAGCACCGGGAGCCGCCGTCGGCCTCCACGGGATGCAGGGAATTCTGCAGGAGAAAGTGATCTGGTGTCTGGATAAACATGGGACACACACACACGCACATGTGTGGCCCAGAGAGGGGTTGTCACAGGACAGAGTGTCGTCCGTGTCGCCCTGACCATGTGGCTGTGCAGATCCAGAGGCTCCAGGAAGAGGTCGGCCGAGGGGCCCTGGCTCTCCGAGGAGGTTGCGAGTGGTCCGGGTGTGGTGCTCACAAGCGGCAGGCGGTGGCCGAGGGTGGGCAGTGCGGAATCCCGATTCTGTGGTGGTGATGGTTCCACCTTGTGAAGATGCTAACAGCCACTGAGCTGCATGCTTCAGGAGAAGAGGTGTTTGATGAGGTGCTGAACACATGTTTGAAAAATGAAGAAAGGAGCTGGTGTTGGCAGGAAGTGTGGGAGTGGACATAAAACAAAACTGGCCACCAGTGGCTGCATGATTGGCATGCAGGGCTCCAGTTTACCATTTTCTCTTCTTTTGTGTGTATTTGAAAAATTCCATCATAAAAGGTTAAAAGCAAGCAGGATTACTGGAGAAAGACCAACAGTGCTTGGACTGAAACGCTCCGAGCAGAGGCTGTCAGGCGGGCATGGCCCCTTTGGTGTGTCCACTGCAGAAAAGGACACTGGTCAGTGCATGGCTCAGCCTCTCTGAGGGGAAGAAGAGCCATATCTCAGAGTGCTTCAGCTGCCCTGCAGCAAAATCCACGTGACATCCCCGGAGCCTCTCCCAGGGAGGTCAGCGGACAGATGCCCACCCAGTGCTCCCCTGGGCCACCTTGTCGTGCGGCTCACGTCTTGGGCTGCGCCACTGCCACAGTGAAAGGTCACGACAGATCAGGGGCTCAAACAACACTCATCTCACAGTCCCTGAAGCTGGAGCCTGAGGTCAGCGTGCTGGAGTGTCTCAGCCACTCTTCCACAGCACCTGACCCCAGAAGGAGGACAGGTTTGTTTGGGCTCATGTTTTCAGTCCATGGCTGGCTGGCTCCGGGGCAGGACTGGCAAGGTGGAAGGGCCTGGTG